GGATCCTATGGCCCCGCCGGGCCCTATAGCACAGTGCCGCCCCCGGGAGCCTATAGCCCTGTCCGGCCCTATAGCACCGTGCCACCCCCAGAGCCTATGGCCCCATCAGGCCCTATAGCACTGTGCCGCCCCTGGGAGCCTATGGCCCCGTTGGGCCCTATAGCACTGGTGCTGCCCCCGGAGCCTATGGCCCCGGTCCTGCCCTGCATGCAGGATCACGGCGAGAGGAGCCCTTCAACCCCCGCTGTGCTCCCAGGGGTGCCTGGGGAACAGCACCCATCCCAACGCAGGCCTGTAATAACGCTTTGATTTTATTAAAGTTCATCCAAAACCACAACAATAAATAAAAGAAACGCCAAAAGCTGCCGCGTATGGTACAGGACGAGAGCAAGGGGACGGCCCCGGTGACGGTGGTAGCCCAGAGCTCTGCCAACCACCCATCACCCCCCAGAGGGGACAGGGACGGCGAGGTGACACGCTGAAGGTGCACTCCACCTCCCCGAACCAGACCCTTACAGAAAAAAGGAACAAAAAAACCCAAAACAAAACAAAAAAAAGAGTAAAAATAGCACCACCGGCTGAGCCAGCGCGGGGTGGGACGGCGTCAGCTCCCAGGGACGTCACCTTGAGCAGGCGCTGTCCTGGGGCAGAGCCGGGGGCCTGCGGGCGGCGGCCAAGGCCGGGCAGGCGCTGGGGCTGCCACTAGTTGCGGCGGGGGGGGGGGGGGCGCGGGGGGGGGCGATCCCGGGTGGCCGCGCTGACCTTCTGCTGGTAGTCCTCCATCTTGTCGTGCAGCTTCTGGTAGAGCTGGGCGAGGGGCAGAGCAGGCGGTCAGAGACGAGCGCTCCCCGCTGTCCCACCCCAGCCCACGCTCCCACCCCCAATTCCCACTTTCCTTCTGCTCGGGCAGGAGCAGGGGCAGGCAGGGCACCTCGCGGTGCTCCCTGCCGCCCCTCGGGCCCCTCCACAGGGTGTTTGCGAGCGCCCTTCCTTTTCCCCGGGGCAGCTGTACCTACCATGACGTTGTAATGGTTGGCGGTGCTCTCCCGCAGCGCCTGGAGCAGCTGGTCGATGGCGGTGTAGGGCAGCCACACCATGGGGGCCGTGGCGGACAGTGGGAACTGGAGGGGAGAGGAACCCTTGCGTCGCGCTGTGCTCGTGGCAAAAACGCTCCTCTCCCCAACAGCCACGGCAAGGAAATGCCCCCAACCAGCAACATCCCGACACCCGCTTGTCCTATTTCGTCCCGCTAAGAGGCCCCCCCCCTTCTCTAGGGTGGGTTATCCACACCCATTTCTCCTGGAAGCACCGTCACCCAAATCGTGGGCACGATACCCAAACCCCAAGCGGGATATCTGCCCCAAGGAAGGGTCCCCCGCCGCATCCCACGCTGCAGGTGAGCTCACCTCGATTCCAAAATACTGGTGCCCTTTGCCCAGCACAGCGTCTACATACTCCAGGACCAGATCCACAGCCTCCTCCAGCAGATCGTAATTCAGATAGAGACGCAGCAGCTCGGCAGCATCCACTCTCTGCAAGCAAAGAGGGAAACGTCAGCCAGGGAACGCGCCCAGGAGCCGCCACGATGCCGGGAGGAACCTGCTCTGAGCCTCAGTAACAGGCACAAAGCATCCGGCGCGGGTTCCTGGAGCTGGGAACGGGAAGGTGGGGTGAAGCTTGCACCAAGGAGGCGCCTGTCGAAGCGAAGGCGGTCTGGCAGCTCTGGGACGGCTGGGGTTTTTTGGCCAGCAGGCAGTACGCGCTGAGTGGTGACCCTCTCTCCCTGTTCTCACCTTGTAGCTGTTAATGAGCCAGTTGGGCAGAGGTATCCCGTGTGCCAAGAGCTTGTTGATGACGCAGCGATGGTACAGGCTGTTCTGGGACGGGTAGCGCTCCAAATAGGACGACAGCAGCCGCCAGGCTTCATCTGTGGCGCTGCAAGGCAAGATTTCCCCTCGGAACCCGTGCCAGCCAGCCCCTGCGACTGTCTGCAAGGCCACGGTGTGCTCCAGGAGACCTGTCCCGCTGCCCGGATTCAACGCAGGCGCTCGAGGCCCAGCAAAGCGGGGCGCGCCGCGTACAGCAGGCTGGGGAAGAGCGTGGTGACAGCGTGGAAGCAGGGCTCTCCCGCTGTCCCAGCCCCGCAGGTCTGCTTTAAGGGGGTTTTATGAACCCGTGACCCTCTGGATTCCCGCAAGGTTTTTGCCTCCAGAAATGACTCTCCTTCCCAGAAAAAGCGGCTCCGCTCTTCTCCCCCTCCCCCCAAGAGAAGGGCCTACCTGGACTCCTTGGTGGTAACCAGCGCGGAGCGCTGGTTTGCTGCCGCTGGGGAAGAGCGTGGTGACAGCGTGGAAGCAGGGCTCTCCCGCTGTCCCAGCCCCGCAGGTCTGCTTTAAGGGGGTTTTATGAACCCGTGACCCTCTGGATTCCCGCAAGGTTTTTGCCTCCAGAAATGACTCTCCTTCCCAGAAAAAGCGGCTCCGCTCTTCTCCCCCTCCCCCCAAGAGAAGGGCCTACCTGGACTCCTTGGTGGTAACCAGCGCGGAGAGCTGGTTTGCTGCCAGCCAGTCCCAGGCCTCTGCCTGCGCTGCCTCCCCTCCCAGCTGCAGCTTGATGCACCTGCGAGACAGAGCAGCGCAAAGGTGGGTGCCTTCGCAGCCCAGCCCTCCCACCCTGCCTTGCCACAGCTGCCAGCACCAAAGCCGCCCTTCGCAGGACTATTCCCAAGCAACAGCTAGGAATTAGCTGGCTTGGCAGGAAAAGGCGGCTATCAGAGTGATTTCTAAGCTGCTCTAAGTGCCAGAGAGGAATTAATAACGGCTCTGATGTTAGCAAGCTTTAGGGCCTGCAGCTTGGGTAAGAGATGCCCTCTGTACCTCCAGCCACAGGAACAGGTCGCAGCAGAGCCCCTGAAGAGCTCTGCAGGCACAACGCACCTTCTGTAAGCGCGGAGAGGCAAAGGAGAAGAGGAATCCTGGGGTCGGAGACGAGGCACGAGAGCAAACGGCTAGCACAGAGATCAGACAGAAGAGCAAGTGCTCCGCCAACCGCTATTTGAGAGCGGCTCAACAGCTTGAACAGATCTCCTGCAAGCAGCTCGCTGGGCATCACAGCAGGAGCGTGCCATGAGCCAGCTCACCAGAAAGGTCTCCAGATGATGGCTGTGCCTGGGTCGGGATCACCTGTGACTGTCAGATGCCAGCTCTCTCCCCTGAGACCAGGGAGAAATCTCTCCCCTCCGCCACCTGCTCAGCAAGGCTCCCTTATTTTTCCTTTTTAGGTGTAAAGAGCAAGTTCCACCTCAAAACCACTGAGCCAGCAGCTGCTGAGGCCGCGCACAGCGTTAGCAGCCACGGGAGCAGACAGGTCAGGACAGCGCTGGCTTCTGACCCCGGGGAGCTGCAAGCTGCGCCCTGCCAAGCATCACGCAGCGCACGTCTCTCCAGCCGCGCGTCGCCCGAGGCAGGGAGGAGAAGATCGCTACGTACTTGAAAGTGAGTCCCTCAAAGATGGGCGTCAAGGGCAGCTTGAACGTTTGGCACAGCGTGACGGCGGTGTCAAAGAGGCCGGCCCGGACCAGGAGAGCAACTGTTTCCTCAGGCGTAGAGTTGCCTGCAGGGAAGGAGGACCAGGTAAGCGCCTCCCCCAGTCACACCCCAGCGCTTACTGGGGCCTAACCCCCCCGCAATTCAGCAGCAGAGTTACAGCGGCACCGTGCTAACGGCCCAACGTAAGACACCCCGCAGCAGCGCTTCTCATCGCACGGCTTGAGGCTTTCTTGGCCTCGGGAGCATCTCATGAGCCCAGGAGCCGTCCCTGGAGGGACCGCACAGAGCAGCAGCGATCCACGGAGCCGTCCCTGATCAGGCACCAGCTGGAGAGGGACACAGGCAGCAACGCACGGCCCCGTAGTCAAATGCTACCGCTGTTTAGGGAGGGGACAGCCTTGTCACTGGCGCAGCAGGCCTGTATCCAAGCGAACAAGGCATCAGCTCAGCTCTGCCAGCGCAGGCAGGAGGGGCAGTGGCAGGAGGCGAGATGAAACTGTGGCACTCAGCTCCCTGCGCCTCCAAGTTTGCCCTCAAACCAGCCGTTCAATCCTTTCCCTGCAATCCCTTCCCTTACTGGGAAGTCTCCCGATACTTAAAGGGAAAAAATGTGCGTACATGTTGCATAACTCGTATCAGAGAGTGGTAGAACGTGCTTAAAGGGTCAGGGTGGGAGAGCTGCAGCTTTCTGCTCCCCAGCAAGGAACAACTTTGATAAGCTAACACTGCGTCATGAAGCAGGATCGTCCAGTCCAGGACAGTAACCGAAGTCTCGCAGCAAGCATTTTTTCTAGGGCTTTTTAAATTCTGCTTCATCCGGGGGCAATTTCCAGCAAGAAAAAAAGATGCCTTTTTGTCCCAACTCATGAGCTCAACCCCAGCCCCACGCTGCAGACCACTACTAAAGCTCGGCAAAGCCAAAAAATGGTGGAAAACTTAAAATTGGTTCTCCTGATCTGCCTTTCCAAAGCTGCTGAACTGGGTGGCAAGATTTTGTGCTAGGGAGGCGAACTGAACGGTCCCTGCCAGCTCCTGGGTTTTTCTCTGCGTCAGAACAAAATTGCTGCTTCCTCACCAGAGCTACGACTGAAAAGCGCTGCAACGAGCAAAAACCTCAGGGGAAGCGAGAGGTGGCCGTGCTGCATCCCTCTTACCTGCCACAGCCGCTGCTGACAGGTCATGCTGCACCAGAGTCAGCCGGATCCGGGCCAACACACACTCCCTCTCCAAATCTTCCAGCTCCAGGATCTCGATTTGGCACGTTGCTGTAACAGATGGACACGAAGGGCTCTCAGCATTGTAAAAAGGGCTCCTCGGGCGTTGTGCAAAACATCTACACCCCTCTGCCATCCTAAGAGGAGTCGTACCACAGAAAGCACCGAAGGAGGGGTCAGGTTTTGCTGCCCCTTCCTTGCTACCTTGAACTGTGCCTATCTCCTTGATACAAACCTGCCATTCCTCCCCTATCAGAGATGTTATCTAATGTTTGGCAACAGCTGCTGCTCTGCCTGCCAGGCATATGCTACAAGGGAGCTCATTCAGAAATAATTGTTTCAAAAATACCTGACCTTAAATTTTTCTACCGTAATGCTGAGGATTACGAGTCCAACCTGGGCCCACCATCCCGTGCTTTGGCAGACACGGGCAGAGCGGAGACCTTACCAGCAGAGACCCACTATGTCAGCAGGGCTTCCAAGAGCACAAACAACAAGAGTCTTGAACAACTAGAAAT